TGATAATGATTTCAAACGTAAGCTAATTACTTAGTATTAAATTCTCCATTATATATATATGGAAAAAAAGATAGACAAAGCAAATTTAACAAAAGCTAAAATACCTAAAAAGGAAAAGGGAAATAATAAGAATATAAACTATTGGTTTCTGACTCCCCCCTTTTTATACATTTGCTAATTTGCAATATTTGTGAACATGCAGGCCCCCTTAAAAGCCAGGCTGTAAATGGTTATATTTACCATGCTGTGTGATGTGTTGTATATATGGGAACCTTTCTTGTTTAAGGGCGAAGATTTTTGTGTCTCCAAGAGTGATGGCAGCTCGTAGTGGGGTGCTTGACTGAATGACCTCTTTTGCACTCTCCTGTGGGTCAGCTGGAGGAAACACCGATGGATGCCATCGATGGATGGGAAGCAGGTTGGCTACAGGTTGCAGGACAGGGACTGAGAAGTGGTATGGATATGTCCCAAATGCAAACTCCAATTCTGAAGAAACTGCAGCCTGAAAATCAGAGACAGTGAGCAAGTGCCAGCTGCCACAACAAGATCTTCAGGGCACACCCAGACAGCTGGTTGAACATGCTTTCCCCCAATCTACAAGTATATCGACCAGTATAATTTGCTCTGCCTACCTAGGGAGTCACTACTATGCCCCGATAAGGAGGCCATGAATAATTCTTTTCTGACTTCTTATTGGGGTTTGGGGTGGAGAGAAGTCAAGGGCCAGATTGGCAGATTTCCCCATTGGTGAGAACACTATCAACCCATTGCTCTTCCTTATGTGGTCTGAGGTTGGCAGAGGAGGTGAGTTTTAACAGAAGGCTAAAACAACTGTGCTACCACCAATCCAGTAGCTAAATTTTGTGTGGCTGCAGCAAAAATACAGCAATGATTCATGCAAATGTGACAAATGTCAGTCTGGACTCATGCCACTAATTTTATTTCATTAATTTTATCTTTGGGGTTTTGTTGATATTCTGACCCTTGATCATCATAATAAATTTGATTTGACTTGATTTGAGCTGATGGCTAAAGCAGCAGGCTTAGTATCTGTCAGGCCTTTGCGTATAATACTCTTCTCACAATCTTGGCACAACCTGCCTGTCATAACCATGTAGAAAAACATTCCCCAGCTGGAAGGGTAGTTCCTTTAGAGGGATCCTGCACTAAAGGAGCATCAAGTTCTCTAGAAAAAATGGTAGAGGACCATTTTAATACAACCTGTGGCTTACACAACCAGGCAGGATGCTTTAGAGCAGTGTTTCTCAACCTTGGCAACTTTAAGATGTGCAGATTTCAACTCCCAGAATCCTCCAGCTAGCTGGGGAATTCTGAGAACTGAAATCTACACATCTTAAAATTGCCAAAGTTGAGAAACACTGCTTGAGAGAGATGCCGGTCTACCGCTTTCTCTACTGATCTTGGTGTTACTGCTGCTTCTCTCTCGGCACTGTATTGATTCAGCCACACAAACCAAAATGTGGGAAGTCAGCAGCGGCTGCAGAAGAAGGAGGGACCTGCAGCAGCTACAAGCAGCCAATCAGAGCAGGACAGATTCTGGTCCTCCTGCTTCATCCCTACAGTTGCCCCCAAAGAACTGCAAGACCTGCATCAGAAGATGGAAAATGCCATTTCCACATCAGAGCAGAAAAATCTCAAGTTAACTGGCCTCGGTTCTGGGCTGGGGATGAGAAGAAGACTATATCATGAGGATGCGTCCTGAAAGAATGGTTACTGAGGCATCTCCAGGCCAAAATTAGGGGGCCATGGGGCTGTGACCTCAGAAATAGCCCATTTTAAACACAAGGAAAGAGGTTTAGGAGCACAAGCTGCAACAGAATGGTGGATCCACCGCTGGTCCTTAAGCCCAGCATTTTCTACAAGGCCTGACTGATGCTTTCCGGGACACCTCAATCCTGTCTGTTCCAGATTAAACTTGGACCTTCCACACCTCAGTATGCTCTGAATCTTTTGCAAACTGGCAGCAACTGGGAACAAAAAGCTGGATTAATTTTGCCTTTGGCTTGATCTTTTTAAAAAATATTTACTTTTATTGCTTTTTAATTAATAACAAAAAAAGAAAAATGACAAAACACAATGATAATAATGATAGAGATACATACATTGTCGAAGAGAAAAAAACATAAAAAGTGCTTTACAAAAAAGTGAAAAAGTATGATAAAAAATAGTACGATATGTCATTATAGCAGTAAACAGTTACAATTCTATATATACCTCTAATGGAAATATTATTCAAGTACATACAGTATATATTTCTAATACATTTATATGACTACCGTGTTTTTTTAATCCGCTGTATTTTGTATCAATGAGTCCCGTAGTTCCCCATAAAGAAAATTTAGCATTCCCCATAAAGCCAATTTAGCATGGGAAAAAGGATCAAATCTTTTTTTTATTAGACATTACGTTCCATAGCTTTCTAACGGTCATAATTGTTTCTGGAGATACTAGAGTTCTGCTGTATTTAGATCCTAATACTGTCCATCCATCCAAAGGAGCTACATATGTATATTCCAAAGTTGCCCAAATCGGAAAATTAACACCACTTGTTGGCTTCCAGGTTTTAATATCTGGCAACAGGGCCCTTGGCTTGATCTAGTGGCAAAGCCATTCTGAACCTTTCCAGCTCTGACTGAGGCTGGATTGCTGTGGGCACAACGCACCTCCGAAGCAGGTGCCTGGGCCAGCTGTCACGCTGGATGAGTAAGGAACCGGGCACACTGCAGGCGGAGCAGCAGCCA